GCACCACCTCCCTCCCCTCGGGCTGGAAGAAAAGTCGGTAATAAGAAACCAGTTCAGTGTCAGGGGGAGCGGGGAGGGGGGAGATCACCCCAGAGATACACGGCATGGAGAGAGAACTCATTTTGTGTAAAGAGGGCCTCGAGTCACCAGGGAATTCCTGGATTGTCTCAGGCTGTCGTGTGTGATGTCCATCACGCCGTGCGAACACCATCTGCTCGGTATTATGCTCTCAGTTGCCAGGCTACCTGCTGTACGCAGTAACACTTGACTGCCTGGCTCCACGTTCGCAGCGTCGCCCAGACGCGCGGGGCGGGGGCCGGGGCGGGGAGGCGCGGGAGTCATGATTAAGCCATCTGCAGGCGGAGGGGCGGGGGACACGCGGGCGGGCGGAAGCCCGAGCGCCGGGCTGACACCACCACCTGCTGGGCCAGAGGAAGAACAGCAGCTGCCCCTTGTTCCCCGGACGAGGACCGCCTGAAAAAAGGCTGCAGCCCGGGGCATCCATCCTCAAGCCAGCTTGCCACCAAGTCTCGTCTCCCCAGTCTCAGTCTTTTGTGATCCCCGCCAAGGAGCCAGCAATCTTTGGCTCGCCGCCAGCAACCCCGGCCCCTCTCACCCAAACACTAGGCATGTTCTTGAAAACACTTAAGAGGAATAAAGCTTCCCTGCACACGGATTTATAAATAAACAGCTGGCTGCTCTTGGGAGATATTTTTACCACAGCTGTTTTTTTGAAGTCGAAAACTGCCTCTCTGGGGGAGGTAGGGTGTTTTTTACACCTCCTGCCTCTCTCCAGCCCTTAGAAAATTGCTAAGATCTTCTCCCTGGAGGAGATAAGTAAAATACGTTCATTGGTTTTGATTTTTTTTTTTTCTCCTCCCTTTATTTTACTGAAGGGTAAGAGGTTTGGGGAGTAATGAAGATCTATGTGGCCATTTGGGGTTCTGACGGGAAGAGACTGAATGAGGATTCTTGGTAGAAAGCAATGGAGGTCGCTGGGCAAGGGGTGGAGTGGAGAACAAACCGGTAATTAAACCTAAAAATACCGCATCATTTGGCTTCGAGGCATTACATTTCTGATGACGAAAGCTCAGCCTGGTTTTCTCCAATTGCACACATAGTGTATGTCCTCCTTAGAAACAAGAGCGGTGGCATGAAATCCAGAAATTCGACAGACTGTTGCTCATTAAGCCCTTTCAGACTGGAGGTTAAAAGCCACCATGTAATATGAAGCAGTTAATGGCCTCATCCAGCTCAGTGTGTAAGGTGAGTCACTTGGTGCGTCTTCAGCTTCCGAATACACGCCTGAGGCTGGGCTCTAGGTGTCACTCACCCGCTGCTGAACGCAGCAGAGCTGTCTGGGAGAGTCCTAAAGGTGTATCAGCCTAGATCCACGGCCGTTTCCTATGGATGGCAATCCTTTGAAAATGCACATGGCTCTCCTGCCACTGTCTTCAGGTCTTCAGTGAGAAACGTGGAGGTAAAACCTTTGGGAAGGAATCATTTGGGGAAATACATAGTCCTGGGAAGAAATAACCTAACTCTCCCCTTGAGGAGGTTTTTATTTCCTCCCACTGTGCTTTTGAAGTATTCTTGCCGCGGGAAGACAGGGGCCAAAAGTGGCTGGATGTGTCGACATGGTCGCGGGGTGGAGATAAGGCTGGGAAGGCCGCACGTCACTACTTACCACTTGTGGGCATGCGCCCCAGCTCCCCCGGCAGGACAAGAATATCTCAAAGTGTGCAGAAATAAACAGGGCCGGCCCAAACCAGCCCTGTCATAAAGTCAAGCTGAAGAAAACTTTATCTTCCCTTGGCTCTCATTTTCATTCCAACTCTCTCTTCCTTATCAAAACTGGCAATTAAACATACTGAAATACACAGGGGGAAGAGAAGCCTGTATATCTGTATTTTTGCTGATCGGTTAGCTATACTTCAGTGTGAATTTGTTAAAGTGTCAAGTCATTTAGCCATTTATTTCTAAAAGTGGCAAGAAACAGTTTATTATCCCATTGAAAGGAAGGGCTTGGAAAACAAGAATTAGGGGGAAAGGAAAGACTGAAATATCTTGACCCCTGCAAAGGTCATTCAAAAACTAAACTGGTAACACAAAGGTTCCTGGCATTTTTGAGTATAAGCTCTTTTTAACATAAATATTGCATAGCTCTCTGTGTATTTTCTCTGTAAACACACAGTTATTAGGCAAAGACAAAAAGTGTTAACTTCAACAATTGCACGTTTGAAAAATAGTACATTTATGAGAGACGTCCTATAAATTTTGTCTTCAGGCAGTTCTTAGGCTCACACTTGGCACCATGGACCTGTAGCCTGGGGAAAGGCCTCGGCGAGTGGAGGGAATGCGAATTTAGACTGAAGATCAGTGTCTCGTTCTGCCAGTTATGGTTCTTCCATTTATCATGTGACCTGGGCTACACGCACTAATGAACCAGAACTCTGGGGCTCTGGTTTCAAGGGTGACAGGAGTAATGGATTTTCACTTCGTTTTTTTGGTTGTTTTGCCTGTTTTGTTTGGGTGGTGGGGTGGGGATTAATTACTTGAAACCCGAATGGACTGAAAGGAACATTTCTGCAGAATGTTCAGACAGTGCTTGCCATCACCAGGCGTGCTTGGTAGAATGAGCGGGAAAGGAAGTGTCTAGAAACTGAATCTTTATTTCCCTTAGTCATCTCCACTGTCCAGCCATTACACACGTCCTCTCTGAGCACGATCTCTAGTAGTCAGTCACTTGGGTTGTATATAAATAGGTCTCCATCACTTAAGGAGTCCTTAAGCTGCCATCATTTCAATATCCAACACATAATTACAGAATCCGGAGACCCAGGTAAACCCCCCACATCTAAGTCGTCTCAGGCATACAAGACTCGGGTCTGTTTTTTGAAGATGTTGGGAGATGATTATCTTTGGGCAGAGCCCATCCCCACTTCTCACCAGCAGCTCTCACCAGCAGGATTTTGTTTTACATTTCAAATGTCACAGGCTTTCAAATGTCACAATTACAGTTGACGCTTTAGCAACATGGACCTGAACTGTGCAGGGCCACTTATAGGCAGGGGGTTTTCCCCAATAAATCTGCACTTGGTCCCTGGTGTACCTGATTCCACGTTTGTGGGTCTTACCAACCGCAGATTGAAAACAGTGTTTTCCATCCGCAGCTGGGAATCCGCGGATAAGGCGGGCAGACTGCACGCGCTGATCCTACACTGTTTTATATAACGGACTTGCGCATCTTTGGGTGTTGGTGTCCGTGGGAGGTCCCGAAGCCAGTTCCCCATGGATAATGAGGGAGGACTCTAGTTAAGTTTCGGGGGAGCCTAAAGTTATACACAGGTTTTCAACCGCACAGAGGTCCTGTGTTGTTCAAAAGTCGTCTCTAATTAGAATTTCATCGAATAGTAGATCTGTCGATTTAAGAATTCCAGCAATCTTGCGTAAACATCTCTCCTACTACCCAAGTCCATTTGGGTCAGGTAGGAAGCATGGATTAAGAGGTAAGATCCGGCCCAGCTCTCTGCTTCCAGATTTAAGATAAGCCCCGCCTAATAAGGGCTTATTGCCTTTCCTTTGGAAAAACGCAGGATGTTAGTTGAAAACCCTGTCCTTGTCCCTTAGCCAGTCCCAGAACTTGGTCGCAGACTCCAGAGCCATGCTCTGTGACTGTCACCGCGTAGCCTCTCTAATTCTACTGCGACAAGTCCACTTTTGAGGTCTACCGCATTGTTCATATGGAAATACAACGTGTGCCACGCAGGACCCCTTGGGTCCACAGCCAGGGCCTCTCCCCACTCTCCTTCCCCTGTGGAGTCACTTTCCTTCAGATGTGGAATCACTGTTTTCTCTTCTCTTCTGTCCTCCAGGAGCAGCACCCGGTCGGGCTTCCCCGGACCACCGGCCCCATGCCATCCTCCGTGCCCCCAGGCTCAGGCGGCATGGTCTCTGGCGCCAGTCCTGCAGGTCCCGGCTTCCTGGGCAGCCAGCCCCAGGCAGCCATCATGAAGCAGATGCTCATCGATCAGCGGGCCCAGCTGATGGAGCAGCAGAAGCAACAGTTCCTGCGGGAGCAGAGGCAGCAGCAGCAGCAGCAGCAGCAGCAGCAGCAGCAGCAGATTCTGGCCGAGCAGGTGATGTGCGCCCGTGGTGTGATCCCTTCATGGGCCAGCGTTTGCTCAGAGCCTGGTGTCCGTGGCGGCGGGGGGGGGAAGGGGGGATGTCCAGCTCATGTCCTTCCTCAGGACAGTCACGGTTTGGAGTTCCCCAGGATCACAAAAGAACCTGCAGAATTTAGACCTTTCGATTAGGTTTTTTCTTAGACCAAATTAGTTTGTACTTAAAAGACAGGCTTCAGCCATCAGTTTGAAGGCCCGTTTGCCAGAGACAAGTCTTCCATTCAAGCCCGACTCCTTTTCTTCTGGTTTCTGGCGATCGGCACGGGAGTGGGGAGGGCCGGCTCACATCCTTCATAAACTCTAATATTTCTAGCGGGAAGAAAAAGAGAAGAAAAGAATTGAGAGAACTTTGTCTCTTGAAAGAAAGTGTCACGAGCAGGGACTGAGGAGAATTCTACAGAATTGGTCATGAACGATGGTCAGAAACAATAGCAGAATAATAGGGCCCACAGAACTACCTGGAGACCTGAACCTGGGGGTCACAGAAAGGAGGAAAATTTAAGAAAATTCCCAACAGCTTTTAGAACCGCTCAGGAAATCTTTAAGTTAAATAAAGGCCTTACACATATAAAGCTTTACCTTAGGCATCATTGTCCACCAGCTTTGAAAGAAAACCTTCCCTTCAGGCAGCTCCCATAGGTTTCAGCGTGGTTCCTTTTGGGGTGTCTGTTTTGTTTTGTTTTGTTTGCGAGATGCCCAGGCCTATTTTAGTATGATCCTGGGAGAGGCCTGAGGCCTTCCTCAGGAGGTCACGGGATGGCTCCCATTGGGTTCTGTACAGGACATCTTTCTGTAGGAGGTGTGAGGTTGTCATCTCAGGCTCAAGGCCCAACAGAGCTCCGCCCCACAGTTACCCTTCTAGAATGTTCCTAATAGGATCAGAATTTTGAAAATTTATCGAGCATCCTCCACCACTTACAGACCAGATACTGTGTGGGACACAGGCACGCTGAGGTCCCTCCTAACCAGAGCAGCGATTCGAAGTAACATCAGTCAGCATCCTCCAAACGGAAAAATTGTACCACTCGATGCAGTTCACTTACGTTCCCTTTTTTGCTTTTGTTCCCAAACAGCTGTGTAATTATCTCCCTTTTTACCAAGGTCGGTCAGCTGCCCGGCAGCTCTTGTACAAACAAACCTCTATCCCCGCCACCCTGCGTAAGGTGTGTGACAAGGAACCAAGCTAAAGCCCCTGTGAGTGGCGCTGCCGAAGGGAACTGGGCTTTGTAACTCCTCTCCCCGGCCAGTCCCAGGGCATCTCAGGTGTGCCCGACACTTTCGGTGGTGGCTTTTGATATGTGTGCTGTGCCCAAGATGCAACATGGAGGCAGAACCCGGCTGCGCCAGCCCAGGGTGCGCCCGCTCGGCGAGGCCGGCCAACCCTGAGCACGGGAAGGAGGCAGAAGAGTCGGGAAAAGAGCTGCCGCAGGGAGACACCCACAGACTAGGAGATGGGAGAGTGGGGGACCCCTCCTCCAGGATGCAGAGAGATACGGGGCTCCTCGGAAAAGATGGATGGAAAAGAGAAACTGCAAAAAAAATGAATATAATTCCTTAGCGACCGTGTGTGCCAAGAGATGATCACGGACCGAGGGTAGAATTTACCCAAGGTCAGAATGTGTCCAGTCTCTGGCCTGTGGTGTGATTTCAGACGAACCATGTTAAAGGGTGATCATTTCCCAGCCTTCCTCCTGTAGCTGTTCTAAGGATCACGTGGGATAATGTGCGTAAAATTCTTTGGCAATGGCACGAATGTATATAGGGACCTGTCACATGACCCTGGTGTCACAGAAGGCCGCAGCCACACGTGCCGACCATCCTGTGGGACTAGCCCAGGTGTGAAACCGGGAGACTGAGCTGAAAACATTGAAGTCGCTGCAGCGCCGTACCTGTGCCCGGAGACAGTCTGGGAGCCTGCAGGTGCTGAGCTGTCACCTTCTTGTTTTGAGAATGAACAGAACCATATCCGTGTCGAGCTGGTTTCCCTGGTCTCCGAAGCAGCAGTGACCATTTTGTAAAGAGTGTATTCGAGACACTTGGGTTTCCTGAAAGGGCGTGTGAAGGAAAACAGAGAAGTTATCTCTGGGAACTTTAAAATGATCCTCGGTGGACTTAGAAATCAGAACAGAGCCGGCCGAAAGCAGGCACGAAGTGACATTTAATGCCTTATTTCTCAAAGAGTGCAGGGCATATCACCTCTCATCTATTCACAGAGGTTCCACAGAACCTAGAATTTTCAAGCCGAAAGGAACATTCGAGGTCATCAAGTCCCTTCATTTTACATATGTGGACACCGAGGACAGAAGCCGATGCTATCCATGTGATGTCGCAGAGTCAGAGAGAGGCAGAAGCCAGGACTGCAGCCGGGGCCTCCTGACTGGTGACCAGGGACCCACCCCCTCCTACCACAGCCCGCCCCCCAGTGTACTCCCAGTGAGACGGTTAAAGGCTGACACACCATGAGAAATGTGGCTGAGGAGAAGCTTTCAGACGCTCAGCTGACTTCCAGGAACGCCCTGCGAGCAGGCGTAACGGATTCGCGTGGTTTCTTGTCTACGCTTTGTCTACGCAATTAATGAATCTTAACAGTTTGGGCCAAACACCGGGACAGGCACCACGGGACAGGGTGCACGGGGCAGAGGCTGTTCCTTTCTCTGGTTGCCAGACTACTGGCTGGCCTCGTCCAGGAAAAAAAAGAAAAGAAAAGAAAAAGAAAATTATAGAGCTGCCCAAGAACCAAAACGAGAAAAAAATAGACATAAGCACACATGTTAAGAAGTGGTCAATGTGTGTTATTTTTATAACGAACACTCCAAAGAGCAGGGCCTCGTCTGTTCGTCTGTTCGTTGGAGCCCTTGCAGGTGAAAGGTGCTTAATGCATATTCAGTAGCTGCGGGAGGAGGTTCAACGACAGGCAGAAGGTCAGGCCGCTACTTGACGGTGGCCGAGGACTAGGACCCCTCTCTCTGCTCTCTCCGCCTCGCTTTCTCTTCCTTCCCTCTGCGCGTGGAGCATGACGATGATCATAATGGCCTTTCCAGAATATTGGTAACAGCGCTGGCCGCACCGCGTCCCCGTGGGCGGACGAAGGCTGAGACGCGGGCTGCCTGACTCCCGGCCCACGTGGAATCCCACGCGGTTTCCTGGACGAAGTCGGTGTCTATTTTACTTGTGGAGGTGGATTTTACAGGCGATGCGGCTTCCTGGGAATAAGATTAGCCTTGTTTATAGCCCCTGAGAATCCCATCGTCCTTTACCCATAGCATCTATTTAGGTCATTAAAAATTAGATGCTTGTCTCTTTGACCTCCGTTCCCACAACGCTAAGGAAAACATGCAGGCCGAGGCTGGAAAGGGAAAAGTGCCTGGCTTGGTACACGTTGCTCGTGAGCCAGCAAGTCCACGCGCTGGAGATGCTACAGACGTTCGCCAAAAGGCATGGACTGGGGTGTTCACGGCAGTGGCACTGAGGGCAGCCCCGAATGGAAGCACCCCAAGTGACCGTCCCTGGTAGAACAGGCAAATGAATGGTGACTTGTTCATAGGATGGAATGCTTCTCAGTAGCAATAATGAACAGACCACAGCTGCATGTATCCATATGGCTGAATCTCACGCCTATAAGGAACGTGAGGAACCAGACACCAAGGCCGGACACAAGTGCGTTGTATAAATCCCCTTACGTAAAGGGAAGAGCAGACACAACTGATGTATGTTGTTAGTGAGGGACCGTTTGCCTGAGTTGGATGAAGGGTGACGACAGCCAGGGGCCTGAGGGGCTCCTGCCACCTTCTGCGTCCTGATCTAGATGCTGGTTACCAGGGGTGTGTTTGTTTGTGAAAACCCACCACACCATCCACTTCTGCCTCGAGCACTTGCCTGTATGCACCTTGTTCTTCGATACGAAGTTTCGTTTGGGGGGACAAAGCCCACCCTCCTCAGAACCACAGGCTATTTAAGCGTGTGCTCTGTCCCCACCTCACCTGCGCCCTGCCTCTGTCATTCCAGCAGCTGCAGCAGCCACACCTGCCCCGACAGCACCTCCAGCCGCAGCGGAGCCCGTACCCGGTGCAGCAGGTCGGCCAGTTTCAAGGTGAGGCCCGCGCGTACCTCTCCCGTTGTAGACCTTCCAGTGGCGAAGTGTAGGATGCGTAGCCCATTGCCTGACGGGCTGTGTTCGTGTCAGGTGGTATGAAAGATATTTAAGAACTGAGGGCACCATCCAAGCAGAATGCACTTGTGGAGGCCCCCTGCTGTGCCACACAGTGACCTTTTGGTCACCAGGTCCGGAAGAGGTCTTGGTGGGCCCAGGGAGGGGTCAAGGTGCCTGTGGGGGCGGGACTGAGGCAGCTGTTCTTTGCCAAAGGTACAGAAGTATTTCAGTAGTTCAACGACCCAAAAGGGCCTGTTGGCCCATTATCGGCCTTGTTTATGTCTAGATCATCACCTCAGTGGCCACGTGGGGGCAGAAATCCTGTACCGCATCTTCCTTGCTAATCTCAGCAGATCAGCTGGCCAAAACCCCCACTTCCAACTTCCGAAGTGAAAAAAACTGGCTTGCAGCAACCACTGATCTCTCCTGAATATAGAAAACACATAAGGCCTTGTGGATGGCAGGACTGTCTTGATCCTGCTGCCTCTTTGTAGAAATCTCAAATCATGGCCCCAGGAGCCATGGGTGCAACGTATGCTGAAGACTGCCTTTCCTTTGTAAAGTAGACAGGCCACTCCATCTACAGGAGAGAGATCCCCGAGGGTCTTGCATGGGGTGGAGGACGGGCCTGAGGACCCTGCCCAGTCTCACCCATAGGCGTCCTCAGAGCTCTGTCTATAGGGGTCACCTAACAGCGGAAATCCTGATTCTGATCCCCCGCCTGTTTCTCAGGGCCTAGATCGATGCATCGCAGCTTCTCTTGGAGACTCTGTCAGGAGCTGTGAAGCCCCTTGCACACAAACATGCATAATAACGATCTATACAAACTTTGTACATCACTTTACAAGTGTTACTCCCCCGTAGACTGTGATCCAGGGCAGCATTTTTCAGTCTTTGGGTCGCAATAACAGTAGCTGGTGGAGACAATTTAACAAGCCAAGCCAATATTTTAAACATGAAATACAATACAAAGAAACAGAGTGTATCATAATAGGAGAAACTTCTGGCTCCGTTACAAACCCACGGTGTGTATATACTGGATCAGGCGCTAAGAGTTGTGGGTTAAACAGCCTGAAAGCCACAGAAGTTCGCTGAACTCACTGAAGGTGGCCTCTGAAAACACTGGCTCTTGAGTAGCTATCACTCCCTTCCACATCCCTTTCGGACTTGACGCAGGGAAGGACAAAGGAATTGGGCTGTCCACAGGTATGCTGTCCACTAAATTAATGTCGACAGTCTTTGAAGAATTATGTTTCTCACTTGGTCATGGGTGGACAGGAGTGGAAAATAGTCTTTGTCACGTGTTGTTAAAACAGACAGCCTGACCCCACCCCCAGAGTTTGTCGTTCAGGAGGTCTGGTGTGGGACCTGAGAACTGATATTGCAACAAGTTCCCAGGAGTTGGGGCTGCTGCTACCTGAGGAACACACTTGGAGAACTGGTGTTTTGTATTATGAACTAATGAAAAACATGAAATCTGAGAAAGCCAATTTAGTGTCCCTTGAGTTTTCTGGTTCATAACTTATGTCATATTTGAGAGGATAAAGGGATCCTCCGAAATTTAATAATTCCTCAGTATAGTATGAATTACTCTAAATGCTTTGGTTCCAATTTTTAAGTTTTACTCTGAACTTTTCTAAAACCCCAAAGCATAGGTAATCAACCTAAAAATTTAGCTACACTTAAGCTAAACAACCAGTGACATTTTAGGGTTCTTGAGCTGATTGAGATATATATATATTTTTTTGTTACTATCTTCAATATTTTATGTATTTACTAATACCCTAGAGAGCATAATGTTATGTATCTGGGAAAATAGCAAATGGAGAAATAGTAAATACTGTCCTTGGAGAGAAGTTCCGGTAGGAATAACTTGCATAAAAACTTATACATCTCACACCACACATCTCAGAGGTTTTAGTGACTATCTTTTATTGAGTTCCATGCCCCTGGGTGATGTTACATGCCTCTGAGGAAATGCTTATATTTCACACACACAGGCATTTTGTGAATGAAGATAGAACATAGACCCTTTTAGGAAAAAAATTGCATATTATCATCTCTATTTGAACATGGAAGATTTCCTTTGACATTGTGATGTTAACCAGTAGACGAGAAAATTAATTTGACTACATTGCCTCATAATACTATCTGTTTTAAACAAAAATTTTAAAAAAAGAAGAAAAAGTAATCTGTCGTTTAACATATGGAGTAATCAGATAAAGAAAGGTTATTTCTTTGAACGCATTTGAATTATTTTTTTTCCTTTGTATATTTAAAATTACTGAAGGCATGAAACTAAATTAATAAAACCATTTTTGTTTTTCTTAGGCTAAAAGTACGGTGCTGATTTTAAAATGTCCTTTTTTTCTCATAAGAATTACACTTAGATAGTGCAGACATTTACACTAAGTAAAAATAAAGGTTGGCTTGGATTAATCTTTTAATACCTCTTAAAAGGCATGGCAGCATTTCTGCTCTCTTAATAAAGGAGTCTATTTCTCATTCAAAAACTTACTCCAGACAATATCCAGTTCCTCAGTGTGTCCATTTTAAGCACAACAAAAATGTCCGAAATATTAGAGTCTTTTTATCTATTTCCATCGAGCGGCCCATCAGCCTGTTTGTATAATGTGGGTCTAGCTGATCGATCTCTGAGTCAGCAATATTTTTCCCTTAAATATTTAAATAAACAACTCAATAACCCATTTCAGCACAGTTGATCAGATTGGCCATGCAGTCAATACAGATTTAGTCGTTAAGGTCATAAAACTTTATAACAAGATTACAAGTTGCACTATATACTGCCATCCAGTATTTAATCATGAACTTTAGTGGGGGTTTTTTTTTTTAATCATTTAGATATAATTAAAGTTAAAACAAAAAAATGAGAACATTTCTAGGGCTCGCCCCCCAGATCTTCAGGTTCCCCTGCAGTAACCATTTAATTTTTCAATGCAGCATGATATCGATCTCAAGCCTGGAAAACTTAAGTCATAATCAAAATTCCCGTAATTTTCTTCCTTAAAGAGAAAAATAATAGATGGAGACATATTTGCTGCCCAGAAATCAATACCCCCATCAGGAAGACAAAAACGCACTTCAGTTATCTGCCAAGGTGCCAGGCTTAACAAGCTTCTACTCTTCTCATCTGGTTTTTCATCTCGGTTCCAGAGAGGATCAAATTTGCTTATAATATCAATTGGCTCCCATGCCACATCTTTTTTTAAATGTCCAGGAAAAGAACTGTTTTTCTTTGACTCACAGACTTAATCATTAGCAGGGACGTAGAAAAATCCATGCACCTCCCAGTCCTTTCCAGCCTTGGCTGGGGTCCTCAGAGTGACATCTCTATCCTCCTGGCTGGTTTAGAGACTTCCCGGGAACATGTAAAGAAGGACTCGTTCAAATGCCTGATGAGAGTGGAGTGACTTGACACGTTCATACTCTGGCCAACTTTTAAACAGCATCCCTGAAACTCTATCAGCGATCTGCTGAGAAACATGGTCATTGCCAGTTTCGAGGAGTGGCCTTTGCTGGAGAGATCCGTAAGTTCACTGCCTAGTAGCAAGTCGCAGGATAATTTCTTTTTCTAGCTCAGGAAGCTGGCCAGTTTGCCCTGACATGTTACGATTCAGAGGAAATCGACAGGGTAGGTCCAGAAAATGCCACATCTGTCAAAATAGCTCCTTAGCAGAAGCAATGGCCTTTAACCTCTCAAGTCCTACTCAAGTCTTAGGGGAAATTAATCTAATGGTCTTTACTCATAGTATTCTCTACTGTACTGTGTTCCACGTCACAAATAGAATATACACGGTGATTGCCGTGTCTTCTTAATTTAGCCCAGAAGGTGAATTCCCTCTCACCTCCAAGGAAAATGCTAGCTAATTGATTGAGGATGGCATCATAACAAGAAGACTGAGAAACAATTAGCTTCTGAAATGTCAACAAAAATAATACCAGGGTAATCAACTGAAAAAGTCAACTACAATAGCGTGTGTACCGTATGACCCCAGTTTGTGTGTGTGTGTATCTACTTATATGGGAATAATAGTTAGCAGTAGTCATTTCTGGAGGTTGGGAATTTCGATGACTCTAACGTTCATCTTTTTGAAAAATCTAGAAGATACCGAAGGGCACAATCAGCATAGGTTACAAGCAGAAAAATACTAACTGTTTTTATCAAGGATTTGTTATCAGAGTAGATCCTTTCACGTAAAAGAATTTTGCCTCTTGCATAGAAAGTTCCAGTGCCTCGTTCCAGGGCATTGCTTATCGAGAGGAGTGAGCCGTGTGTGTCCTTTCCCCCCCGCAGGTTCTCCGCAGGATATCGCGGCTGCGAGGAACCAAGTAACCCTCCAGAACATGCGGACGTCGCGGCTGATGGCCCAGAACACAGGCATCATGGGAATGGGACCCTCGCAGAACCCAGGGACGATGGCCACGGCCGCCGCGCAGTCAGAGATGGGACTGGCCCCGTACAGCACCACGCCGACCAGCCAACCCGGAATGTATAATATGAGCACAGGAATGACCCAAATGTTGCAGCACCCAAACCAAAGTGGCATGAGCATCACACACAACCAAGCCCAGGGGCCGAGGCAACCCGCCTCCGGGCAAGGGGTCGGGATGGTGAGTGGGTTCGGTCAGAGCATGCTGGTGAACTCGGCCATGACCCAGCAGCATCAGCCGATGAAAGGGCCGGTGGGCCAGGCCTTGCCGAGGCCCCAGGGCCCGCCCAGGCTGCAGAGCATTATGGGAACGGTCCCGCAGGGAGCCCAGAGCTGGCAGCAGAGGAGCTTACAGGGGATGCCCGGGAGGACTAGTGGAGAACTGGGTTCGTTCAACAACGGCGCCAGCTACCCACTTCAAGCCGGCCAGCCGAGGCTGGCCAAGCAGCACTTCCCACAGGGACTGAGCCAGGTCGTGGACGCTAACACCGGCACGGTGAGAACCCTCAACCCGGCTGCCATGGGTCGGCAGATGATGCCGCCCCTCCCAGGCCAGCAAGGCACCAGCCAGGCCAGGCCGATGGTCATGTCTGGCCTAGGCCAGGGCGTCCCCGGTATGCCCGCGTTCGGCCAGCCCCCAGCACAGCAGCAGATGCCCAGTGGCAGCTTTGCCCCAAGCGGCCAGAGCCAAGCCTATGAGCGGAACGCCCCTCAGGACATGTCATACAGTTACAGTGGCGAGGCGGCCGGGGCTTCCTTCCCTGGTCTCTCAGACAGTGCCGACCTCGTGGACTCCATCATCAAAGGTGGGCCGGGGGACGAATGGATGCAGGAGCTCGACGAATTGTTTGGAAACCCCTAGTCAGGAGGGGCCCCGAGAGCCACAACTCCAGTGGTGAAAGCATAAAACGTGAAAAAGAAACAGGATGTGGATCCATCCTCGTTTTTTTTTGTTTTTTTGACCCACGTAAACTGAGCAAAACTGCAGCTGGCTGACGGTGGAAGATCCAGGTGCCAATCCACGGCTCCGCTGGGCCTCGTTTCGCCTGATTTTCACACAGCAGTCAAGACGAGATGCCGGTGCAGATTCCAGCTGCAAGAGAGGAAGACACAGCAGAGGCAGGTGGGGAAGACGCCTGAGCCCCCTGCTCGGCGCACTCTCCGACCGCCTGGCCCCAGGCGCCGAGACTGCAGCTTTGGAGACACAAGAGACAGAGCCGCGGGCCAGGGAGAGCCCCACAGAGGCTGCTGGGTGGTCGCACAGGTCGGAAATGCACTGAGCTCCAGCTGGAAGGAGACGCCAGGCGTGGAGACCTGCTGCCGCGCGTGGAGGGCGGGCAGGAGGAGCAGCGACGTGTCGCAGGGACACCGCATAGGGTCCTGCAGGCCTGTCTCCCGCCCCTGATGACTCTCAGAAATCTCAGAGGCTTGCTTTCAGCTGCCTCGCAAGGACAGTCAAGTGAGCTGGGAGGAAGGCCCGTCCTGGGCGCAGCCCTCTGCTGGTGACCACGGTGGCCAGCACTCCGGGTGGTTGGGCTGGAGCCTCCTGGAAGCCCTTACGATAGTGACACATCAAGGCAGTTGCCGTCTACTTCCGACGCCACAGGGTGGGGAGACCCTGGCAGATGCTCCGTGCCTGCCAGCGCGGCCGCCTTTCTTCCCAGCCCCTGCCCTCGTCCTTCCTTGTGTTCACCCCAGTGCCCTTGCAGCTTCTCGCCGACTATCCAAAAAGAAATGAAGCTTTCGTCTTTAGGGAGCCTGGGCAGCATCAAAATAAATGCAAGACGACTTCGGACAGTGCCCGAAAAGCAAAGGTGACAGTGGCATTTTCCTTCTCTACCCACGTGTAGAGTTGAATGAATAGTTGGTCTCTGCCTGGAACTGTGCAGGCTGCTCTGATGCTCGGTGGGTTTACGCGTGCCACATCCGATACTTCTGGTGTACCCAAGGAGGACCGGCCTGGAGCTCGCCGACTTGGGCTCCCTTTGGGACAATCCCGGGGTTGATGCTCTGAACTCGGCCTTGCCCTTAATCCCTACTCACCAGAAAGACAAATCTGAACCCCTGAGAGGCAAGGCGCGGAAAACTCAATTGCTCCACCTTCTACATTTTGATAATAAAAGGGAGGAAGAAATGGTTCCTTTCATATGGGCAAAGTAATCCACTTCAAAACACCTGTACAGTTGTTTCCTTTGTAATTCACTGAACTCTGCCCTAACTGAAGTCTGTGTCGGAAGGGATCAACAACCTCCGGGATCACAAGGCTTGTCTCTTATTTACAAGGACTTATCTGTCCCGCGTTGAAAGCCATGTGGCATAACCCTTGTCCTAAGCCAGGGAGAGCGGTGTGTGCTTTTCTCCTCCCACACGCTTCCTCCATGTCCGAACGACTGGCTCCCTTCTGTGCAGTCACACGCAGCTCGCCACACCGGAGCCCGGGCTGGGTGCCATGGACAGCTGGGCCGGCTGCACCCGGAGGAAGGTCTCAAGAAGGGGGGTTCGGATAGAAAGCTGGGGGCAGAGGATGTAAAGAGGCAGCAGGCAGGCAAGCGCTTCACTTGACTTGCTTGCCAGGTACCAAGGTCATGGGTCTCCTCAGCAAAGGGCAGGATGGAGGCAGAGGCGGCCAGGTGGGGAAGAGCCAAGGGCCACGCGCTCTCTGGGAAGTGGTGGTGTCGGGAGGACAGTGAACTCCCTGTGTGGGAAACTGTTGAATGGAAGCAGATGAAAACCAAAAAACAAAAAAAAAAGTAAGCGAAAGAGAAGACACGGAATACACGTTTACCTTCTTCTGAAAGGTACGGGAAATATATAAGCAAAGATGAGAAGCTAGAGGTGGCTGGTGGAGGTGCGGCTCCATTATCCTAAAAGCTTCCTCCACGTGCTGAGTCCTGGGACCAACTACATAGAGAGGTAGATTTTAATAAGGTGGTTTTGTTTCGTTTCTGTTTTTACTACGGTGCTGATGTATATGTAATGTCTAAAAAAGTTATTTGTAAATAAGTTTTTACAATACTGCAGATATCACTGGGTCTACTATCTGTAAAAAATATACATATAAATATATATATACTGTTTGTTTAAAATAGAGTATTTTTATTTCATTCCTTAACTCATCGTCACAGCAGTGGTATTGCACTTCAGATGACATCTAATTACTAATTTGTACTGTATGACCTATGGCAACTTGCTCCATTTTATTCAGATTTTTCTAGTTTTCTGTTTTTACTTTGTACATTGAGCATTGCTTATTTCCTTTTAAAAATGTACAGACCTCTGAAATGTAGAAATGAAGTGATGTTGACATACCACTTTTAAAGAAAAAAAAATAAAAAGTTATCTGAATCAACCTGAAGTTTAGTTTATTTTTGGATTGCCACTGGATCCCCAACCTTAATTAAACAGAATATGCCCGGGTTTTAAATGATTAACTGCAATTGTCTCAAATTTTTGATATCATTATTTAAACATTTACGTAACAGTAGAGATTGATCAATCAATCACAGCCTTTTTAATTCAGCCACACAACTAAAATGTTCTAAATTGGTATTCCTGGGGACATGGCAAAGGGAAGAGAGGAAAGCCAACTTTGAAAGGAACACGCTGAAGTCCATTTGTAGATTGAGCTCAGTAACAATTCGAATCCACCTGGTTCATTCCGAGGACTTGGAAAATTGACAGTAAAATTTTTATTTAAAAAAAAAAAAGGTGAAAGCTCAAGGAATATATTAAGGGGAAGAAGACAAAAGGGTCTTGCACGATAGTATACTATCAGTACACTGTCAGCGCCACACACACACACACACACACACACACACACACAGTTTGCCTCACTTGTCAGCCCAGCAGGGCAGAACCTGGCTCACCCTCCGCCCACCCACAAAGAGTTGAAGTGCTTAGAAGCTTCCATCCTCTCTGGTGCAGGTGTGAACGGGACACACCCTGAGAGCATTTCTGTTGCAGAGCTCCCCCAGATCGAGCGGAGGCTGGGCTGCTTGCCCTTCTCCACCCCCGTTCCCCACTCCCTTTCTGTTTCCAGTCCTGGGGGGCCTTGGGCCTTCGTTAACAATTCACGCACACATGACTCCACCCCTTCCTCTTCTGGAAGACCTGACCTGAGACTTTCCATTTTAGGGGAGTCGAAAATAGACCCAAAACAAACATTACTTTTAACATAGACAAACGAAAAGAAGACATGAACTTGACCGTGGAAGAAGAGACCAGCCCTACCCATGGTGGGCTGTGTTCCCAGATGGACGGACAGGTAACATCGTGTGACACTCGGCTTTGTCCCGACGATTCGGGCTTAGTACTGTACCAGGTCACATGAGATGGAAAAGCGAACCGATTCTGGAGCGGGGTATGGGACGGCCGGCAGCAGAGTGAAAACACGAAGCTCTGAGAAGAGCCGGGTTCGCCTCGTCCGAATTAATTTAAACCACATATTTTTATTTCCACGAAAATGTGTTCTGCGCCGGATGAATGGAATACGTTTCTCCTTGAAAACAATTTCTTCTATATCATCATAT